AGGGACAAAAGATACATAATAATAAAAAGGGGAAAAGGAATAAATCCAAACCCGCCATCTTAGTGGGTTTGAACAATGTCAATTATTAGTAGATGACGAACGCTATATAATTTAAAAATGGACTGGTTATACTGTTGTAGTGGATAGAGGTCAATGTTCATAATTGCACAATGCCTTTATGCCTTGAGGTCCGCCTCAGCAATTTTGGGGGCACTTATGTACTAGTGTACTACAACTACCTCCAAAATTATGCAATGTTGAGGCTACACCTTTTCGGATGAGGCACACGCCTTAAGGCATATGCAACTAGGCAGGATTGAGGCGTAAGCAATTGCCTTTTCAGGTTTTAAGTAAATAAGTTGTGCCCACTTCAAAAACAAATAAAACATCACCCATTTTTCTCTTAAAAGTTTTCCGACTGCACTTCTCTTTTTCGAGAATCACATTCCTTACATCTCTGCTTCTGCGACTCTTCATTCTCTATTCTCTAATTTTCATGTGCAAGGTACTCTTTTATTTAAGAGAAAAGTGTCAAATCGACCCTCATACTCTGTACAGAAAGTTCCATCTCTCCCCTTACCTGCACTCATCCTCCCCAAAAGTTCCATCTCTCCCCTTCCCTCTCTCCCTGCCACCTTAATTTATTTTTAACTTGCTTGTTTCATTTTTCTTCCTTTACAATGTAATTAGCTTTCCCCCAGCAACTTCCGGCGAAGAAACAACCCAGTCCAGCAAGGTAAAAAATCTCAATTTCTTCTTCCTCTAACTCACAATGTCTCCGTCACGGCGTCACCGATGTTAAAGTGAGGTCTTCTTGAATTGGGTTTGTCGCCATCGCCGTCGCCAAGGGAATGGAGAAGGAAAGAATGGAAGGAGGAACATGGATGTTAAAGAGCCACCCAAACTTAGAGTCATTGATGAAAACTTGCGGAAAAATTGATGCCAGCCATGGAAGAATCAGCGTAAGGAAGAAGAAAGGATGAACAGGAAAGAGAAAGAAAGAGGAAAAGGAAAAAAGGAAAAGGAAACCGAAAAAGAAAAGGAAAGGAAAGATGAAAAGAAAAGGAAAAGGGGGGAAGGTGACGTGGCCCGCCACATGTGTAACATGTCAGGCCTCGCGTGCGCCACATTAGCACAGGTAAGGGTTACCTGCTAAAAGTCGGTTTTGGCAAAGATTACAAAGTAGGAGGACGTAATTGATGAAACTTAAAGTGTGGGGCTGAATGACTTTCCGTACATAGTACGAGGGCCAATTTGACACTTTTCTCTTTATTTTTTATTTATTTTTTTATTTTCCTGGTTAATAACCAATGCTACCATTACTGTCACGAACAACATTCATCCACTATTAATTGGAAATAGAAAATATAGTAGGGAAAAAATTGGGAAGATAATATATCAAGCAAAATATATTATATTAGTGAATCTAGTGATGGTGGATCTGGTATTGGATTTATGCATATTTCAGACTACTAGATATTGATGACCCTAATTTTCATTCTTCAATTTAATAAACTTTAAATTTAATAGGCATAGGTAATATTTGCTATTATATAATGTTCATACATAGTATATTGCTCGGTTTATGATCTTCATTCTGACTACGGATTTTGTTGGATTTTATTGAATACTTTACTAGATCATTTTATATTATTCGTAATATTTTACTATAAATTGGTATTATGATCATGAATATGTTAGACAGGTTCTATTTTTATTTTTATTTTAGATCATGAATATGTAGTGCTTCTTTTTAACGTGTGTTATTTTTCCCTCAGCTTGAGTGCCATTACAAAGAAAAAATATATGTGTATGTGTGTGTAAGATTAAAAATAAACTACATATTGTTTTATTCAATTCATCCCCGCTCAACCAAATTACATACCAGCTGGCCTACACAGAACAATGAAGCAGTACCTTAATCGATTCCAATCACCAATCCGGTTTTTAGTGCCTCAGTTTGAACTGATTATATGGTTCAAATATAATATTGCGAAAAAAGGTGACGAAGAGTGACACAGAAGAACCTAAAGTACAAGCATAAACTGCAGAGAGTACCTTAATACCGGGAACATGACAAAAGAAGGCTTCCGGGGATTGGGAGTGGTAATGCCCACCATGTCCAACAGCCCCATAAGGTGCTCTAATGGTTAATCCTAGAAGTATAGAAGCAATTCATGTATATTTTACAAGCACTAGGATTAAAAATAAATTCAATCCAGTTTTCTCGATTACCTCCACAGTTAAATTGGTTACCACTTCTATATCTAAACTTTGCAGCTTCATTCACAATCTGTGGAAGTAGATAGCGAGACATCAACCAAATGCGGTGTAAATAACGGTACTTAGGCTCCTTTTGGTAGCAAAAGATGGCTTACTCTGCTTAGAATAAGCAGAATAAGTCACTGAGCTGGTTGAAATGGATGTTACCAAATGCTTTACTTTATAAAAGTTCAGCACATTCAGCCATTTTAGCTGGAATAACCATTTCTAAACAGGCCTTAGTATTCAGCTGATGGAAAATGCATGCCTGGTCAAAAGCAGGAAAGATGTAATCCGCAAACTGAATTTCTGCTATCGCTCGGTTGTCCTACAAATTTACGGAACAAAATAAATTGTACATGAAACTTAGATCAATATAAAGTATAAACAATAATCTTGAGTTTGATAGGTGAACCCTACCATTGCCGCCAAACCAATTGCAAATCCAACAATGCCCTAACATGTCAAAAACTGGTTATTACTTATTAGATCAAACCGTGCCTGCTCAAATCTCATGGCATTCTAGATTTTTTGCCTTTTGTAGATCAAACCATAATAGTTGTATAAACATGCACATTCTACTTTTTTACTATAAAAAAAAAAACTTAATTACCTGTTCACAGAGAGGAGTATTAAAAACTCTGTGTTTACCAAACCGGTCAGCAAGTCCAGTAGTGCAACGAAAGACACCACCAAACCCCACATCTTCTCCAAATATATAAGCACTGGAAAGAAGATTGAGGCCATGAATTCACTATATCATTGAAATCACTACACACAAAAATGGTAAGGCACCCTTTGGAGCCATAATCGGTTTATGCTGCATATCAGCAGAAGTATGCTATGACTTCCATATTTTGCTGAAATAGATGTTACCAATCACTTTTCTTTTTCAGAAAATTAAGCAGATTCAGCCAATAACTCATACCAAGTGGGCTCTACTTCTCTAAGTGGAACTTATGCTGACATAAACAAATAGAAGTGAACAAATTGATCCCAATAAAAGCTTAAGTTAAGACAAGGTCACAAAAATTGAGAATGGAATAGCTTCATCGCGCATGTGCAATATAAGTTCAATTTATCTTGGCCACTCAAGATTCTCTGCATAAGATTATGTGATGACTTATATATCTAATAAATCAATTACTTATGGATAAGCTTCAATTCACGTCCCACTCCAGATTTGAGCAAGAAAAGTGTTCAACTTCAATTAGGAAAATTCAAATTCAAGTGATTAAATGAAGAAACCCCATATCAGATCACTTAATAAACACACAGAAAAAAATGTGCACTGTAAGTACCACTTGGGCCTCATTTGGATTGATTTGATATTGTGTTCAGAATTAACTTTCTAGAAATTAGATCAAATAAAGGTGGGAATTTATAGTCAACTAATGAATAAGTACCCCCATTTCAGATCACATACAAACTCAGTGTCGTGTAAGGATCATTTTAGATGGAAAGTTTTGGATGGTCGGAAGGGGTTTTTGGAGGGAAAAGTCTATGCCTGTATGTGCATCTTACATTCTAAAATAACTCCGTATAACATAATAGGTGATCATGTGATGCCTGGATACGAGAGTATTTCACTTTTGGCGTACAACTATGGATTTCTTGACACTTTTAGCACTATAACTAATCTGACAAAAATCAACTGTAAATGTACATGGAGTTGCCAAATAAGTGACAGGAAAGACCAAAAGTAGCCGGAAATCCCTGACTAAAAAAAAAAGATAAAGGGGACTTGGTGAAAATGGCCTATACATAAAGTGGAATGTATTAAGATAAGGAAACCCAAACTATAGCAGTGGTACTAACCGCGGATCAGTCTCTAAGGCGATGTGAAGAGCCTGATTTATAGCAGAGAAGAGATTGACAGAAGACGATGACTTCGCATTCTCCTCAGCAATCAAAGAAGCAAATCCTCTCCTACACTTTCTACTACCCAAACAGAGTTTTTCTTCTGCTGATAGTAAACCCAACCCTGTAATTCTTCTTATGCTTCCAGCCATTGTTACTCCTCACAAACTTGTGCCGGATTTCTTGCAGCGGGTGATACGAAAACAATATGGTGAATTTGATTTGAGAATACCAAAGATAGCAGCTTTTGGTACTGATGAGTAGGTGGAAATTAACATTTTTAATCATCAACCCACGGAGCACAAGCAGGAAGATTTGTTATTTTGTCAAAGATAAACTCCATCCACGTGATCCTTGTGGAAGCATACGCTGTGGAATCATCGGCTACTGAGATGTTTGTTCACGTGTTTCTTTCATGAAGATAATTAGGATGTTTTGTATGAAACGTTGAGTTTTTTTTCGAATTAATGTTAATTAATTAATTAATTACGAAAATAATCCTGGAAAAAAAGTATTTACCAAAATACTGCTGGTCCTTAACCACGGTCAGGGGTAAGTCGCCCAACCGTTGGGCGACTTATAAGTCGCCCAACCGTTGGGCGACTTACCCCTGAAATATGGTTGAAGGCGAGCAGCTACTGCCAGCCACGCACGATCGTGCGTACCCTGGGACGCACGATCGTGCCTATGTCCGAAAACAGCATTTCATCAGGTTTTTCGCCCTGATTCAACCCAGACTCATCTGTTTGCTATAAATAAGGTCTCCCTTCTCCTGTTAAAGTATTACGAACTAGATACAACACATTATAAAACATACAACACACGTCTTCACAATGACCTACTATCAACAATATTAAAAACACCTTATAAACACCCATAAAAACCTTCAAATCATAACCGGAATAACACAATACAATCATCATATATGCCATAACAAGTAATCATCTAATATTCATACTCGAACACATCAATACACCATACAATACTTACCAAGACAAAATACATCAAAACTTGTACATTGTTCGTACAACATCTACTGCATAAGAAAAACTACAATACAAAAGACAAACTACAAGTTCTCATCATAAGCTTCGTCATGGAGATGTTGCTGCTCATGTCTACGCCTACGGCGTTGTCGTGGTTGAAGAACCACTCTCTCATGTTGCGTCTGGGATGATGAAGTCGCGGCTGCACTAGACGTGGATGCCATATCCTGAGATGGGGGCATTTGTATAAGATGTCCGTAGTCTACTCGGCCCAACACATCTGAGCACAACGAGGCAATGCCTGTCAGAGCCTGTCCATACATGTCCACATCAGGAATATCAGTCACAGTGGTAGTAGCCCGCTGATGTATGCGCTGCAAAGCTCGTGTCTGAAATATGAAACACAATTACAATTACATTCAAATACATACAAGTATTACATAAATAAAATGACTTACTTTACTAATTACTAATATACTCACCGTAAGATGCAAAGCCAAGGAGCTAGGCTGATAATGATGAGTAGGGAGTCTGAACGAAGGAGACACAAATAACCGAGTGATGCTGTAGTACCATCCCATGTAGTCTCCTGAAACAGATGGCACATATGTGGGTGTCCCAACCACAGCTAGCTCAGCTCTCCTTTCCCACATAGTCACATATCGGACATGTCTGAGTGCCCAATCCTCTGTATGCTTCCCACGCCTATCCAGCTTATGCAGCTCTACATAAGTGTCGATAGGACGTGGAACGACCTGCTCAAACCCAAACTGTCGCATGACTCTATCAGGCAAATGAAGCTCAACAATGTCAAAACATATCAACGGGACACGTGCTCGCCAGATGTGAGTATGCTCTCGTCCAGCTGGGGGCAACTCTGCTAACATATCAGGTCTAAAGGGCATCCATGTGATCTGTTTCATAAACATACAAAATTAGTATTTATTCTACACCTATTCTAGTTAATGTTATACTACATATACCATACCTGGTCCTCAGACATCCGATCCAATGCATCCCTGTACACACCGAGCCCAGTAGCGGATGACATGCGAGATAGACCCGCATATAGCCACCTAACCATTCATGTAACAATATCAATAATATGGATATTATTAATTTATTAACATTCAAGAAATACTCACATAAATACAAACGATTGAAAACATACCGACGGCCTAGAGGGTCCTCGCCCCGTACATGATGTGGTCCTAGAAGACGTGGAGGCTCATCAGGCAGCGGCTGTCCATCAATGCCATGATATCCGACTATAATGGGACGGCCAATGTGGATATACTCCCATGACCAAATCTGGAGGAGTAGCAAGAATCCCCCCAGCTCTGTGCTTTCTCTCTGGCAGCCGCGACACAGCTGCCTGTATAGATAAGCCAGGGTGGCACTACCCCAGCTGAACTGTGCTGCTACATCAAACCTCTCCAGCAAAGGCAAGTGTAGCACCTGAACCTCATTTCCGCTCTTGTCAGCGAAAATGGAGGCTCCCATCATCATCAATATATACGCCCGAGCATGCTGCTGGATGATCACCTCATCAGCGTCGGGAGGAAGGACCTGGAAGTGCTCCCTCAATCACGGCATCCTAAGAGACATCATATAACCTGTGGAACCATTGGGGGGTGGGTACCACTGAACAACAGTTCCTGAATTAGAATGTTGGAGCGCTGTCATGAAACGGGGCAATTCGAAATATGACTTTTCCCAACCGCCAAATATTTGTGCTATGGCCTTTTGCTTCCCCATACATGTTCTCCGGTAAGATACCGTATACCCATATTTTTCCTTCAACATCTCGATGATAGTATGCACTTTAAGAGAAGGATCAGTGCGAATAATGTCAACCACATCTTTACAGATGAATTCTGATGTCAAGGCCACGTGATCTGTAGTGTCGATGTTGCCTACACAAGAAGCAGAATGAGGTCCAGAATAACGCACAATTGTGAAGGTGTCAAGGTTGCCTTTGTTCTTTGTGCCGCGTATTCTCTAGGGGCAATGACATTCTTTCTTCCTTTTGCATTGTGCCACCCATTTGTGTTTATCGGACTCTATCACCCGATAGAATTGGCTCCGTTTGATAGAATACAAGCTCACCATATTGATGACTTGTTCTTTGTTGTCAAACTGTTGACCGACCTCAAACTCACCATCGGGGGTAAACCTTTTCTCACCTGATCCACTCATCCACGCATCAGTAAAACCTTCAGGGAGATCATACATTCTAGTAAAATGGCTAGACGGGGCAGTTGACGTCACTGTATCACCATCATCTTCATCAGATTCTGTCATGTCATCACCATTGATGTTGTCGTCTGCATCATCATCACTTCCCTGTCCATCCACAAATGATGCACCGTTGTGCAAATACCTACCATCCTCCTGTATAACCATGTCTAGTACAGGAGCCTTTGAGGAGTTCCCTGCATTCACCCCTGCATTGACATCATGCCTATATAAAACAGCATTTGATGTTGATTGAGTACCATAAGTGTCACTGGATTCCTCAATGTATATCTCCAGCGTTGACATATCCTCCATCTGAATAATGCCCCACATATTAGTTATAGCTAGCTCATCAATGAGCGGCATAAGCATGTACTTTCCCCCGTTCATGGGAAATTTCATTTTCAACCGCAATGAACGGCCGGGATGAATCATTGTGGTTGCATGTATTTTTTGAAGGATCTCGAGCATGCAAGCTCCACGAGAAACCATGACAAAGCTGGTTCTGCCACCTTCATGGCATATTTGCCCATCATTTTCATAATAGTTCCCTCCCCAATGACACACGAGTGGGAAGCTTGAGAAATCCATATTCTAATAACAATTCATTGTCCAACATTCATGAGTACGCATCAATATACACACTTTATACAAATTCAAATTTTTTAATATAAAATGCTTCCAAAATTGTAATATATCCTAAAATCCAAATTCACAAACAATTCACATTTGAATAACAAACAACCCAAATTTTGATATCTACATTCAATGTCTACCTTGGAATACCCAAATTTAGGTACATTCAACTCTACCCAAATGCCCAAATGTCAAAATACACATTACAATTTACAAACAATTTAAAATCAAATTTCAACATTTCATACATATCCACATTTCACAACAACTGAATTTACAATCAATTCATAATCAAAAAATTCTATCATTTCAAAATTCAAAACCCTAAGTTCAAAATGAGATGAAATGGATTTGGATTTACCTAGAAAAAGGATGAAAGAGTGTTGAAGAGGATGGAGATGAAGGTTTGTCGGAGTGGTGTCGCCGGAGATGGAGGTTCGTCGGAGTTGGAGATGGCCGGTCCTTCGTCGGTCGTCGCTCGTCCTTAGTCGCTGCAGAGAAGCTCTCGAATTGGGGTGGGTTTAGTGTTTAACGCGTTCTGTTTGTGGCTGTCTGCGAGAACTTACTTAAGGGTAAGTCGCCCAACGGTTGGGCGACTTATCAGTCGCCAAACCGTTTGGCGACTGATAAGTCGCCCAACCGTTGGGCGACTTACCCCGACCCTGGTTAATCCAGCAGTATTTTGGTAAATACTTTTAACCCAGCCCTATTTTCGTAATTAATTAATTAATTAACATTAATACGGAAAAAAACTCATTTTCGGATGTGTCATGTCCGGTGGCTTCTGAACAAGGAGTGTGGCTTTAAAAGTCATTTTTTATTTTGAAGAAATTGATTAATTGTAAAAATTGATAGTTTAAAAAAAAGATTCTTAAAAGTTGATAGTCTTTTTGTGTAATAGAAAAAAGTGAAAAGCAATTTAAACCACCCTCAATTGCTTTCGGCTTTTTGCTTTGAAATGTTTAATTTAAACAGAAAGTAGCATTTGAAAACATTCATTTCAACTTTTTTTAAGTCAAAAGATGAAAATCGTTGTGTTTAAATTTTCTTGAAACACTCCATCATTTGCAATGGAGCCAAAGATTCATTATTTTTTTGCTTGAGAATATGATGGAATAAAGTAAAATGGCTCACTAAACTGTCTGTGTTTCTTTGTTATGAAGCGTCAGTCAGACTATGAAATTTGGACGTGATTTTCACTACGGGTCATCTGGGAACAGTCTCTCTGTGCTTTAGTACTGGGGTTAAGACTGCGTACATCCGACCCCCCTTACCCCACCGTAGGTGGGAGCCTTTGCGGCACTAGGGTAAATGAAACTGAAACTCCCTAAGTTTGTCTCATAAATGTCTGACTTGTGTATATTTTGTAATTGCATGATTACAATTTGGTCGGTTTACATTTGACTCGATCTGATTTAGGACTCAAAATAGATTTAGTATAACTTAATTTGGTTGAATCTGTCGAATCTACTGAATTTTATGAAACTTTTTTTTGGAATAGAAATTTATGAAACTTTGATTAAAATAAAATGACTAAATTGGTTGAATCTACCAAATTATGAAAAATAAATTAAGATACATTTTATTAATAAAATTAAGAAAAAAATACATGAGAATAGCTAAAATAATACTCCCTCCGTCCCAAAAAGGTTGGTCAATTTAACTTTTCTTGGTCAACGATTATCAACTTTGATCAATGATATCTTTTAATACAAAATTATTTGAAATATGAAAATTATATGAGCTTATTCTTTATCAAAAGATCTTTCATAAAAGTATAAAATTTATAAATTACACATAAATATAATACCTAAAATCATTGTCTAAACTTTAACATCATTGACCAAGAAAAGTCAAATTGGCCAACCTTTTTGGGACAGAGGTAGTATTCTACAATAACGTTAATCAATTCAGCCAAGAAATTAACTCACAACTCACTTATTTTGACTATTATAATTTAGCGTGTTGAGTCAAAATTCACGTATTTGATAAAAAAAAAGTTTACTTATAAGAATGGCAAATTAAAAATAGGGGTTACCAAAAGACTTTTAATCTCGATTATAAATACATTGGTTTAGATCTTTATGCATGAAATACTCATAAACTCCATACATGAAATAAATAAATAAATATGGTGGTTAAAATATGACACGTTTTACAAAGTTATTATGTTAGTACGGAGTAACTTTTAAAGACTAATACTACGTATTATATTTAACTGTACCAGATCACAAAGTTATTTCTATAATTACTTAAATCATACTAGCTCAATCACGATGGACTTTGCCAAGTGCAAAATTTTTTTAGAATAATAAAAACTGTGTGATTGAGATTTGTACAGAGGAGAGATAAATGTGCAGAATCACAAATTAGTTGCTTTAATAAGAAAGTGGCAAAGTTTTTTGGGACGACCAAAAAGGGAAAGTTGACAAATTCCAATGAGACGGAGGGAGTATTTATCTTTATAAATTTCATTTTAGCAATATTTTAAGATTTTTTTATCATCAAAACAGATGGCTTAAATTGATATCACAACATTGAAATTGAGGGTAACACGACAAAGGACCGCATGCAACCGTCAGCCCTCGAACCAAATTTAGAGTCAATCACCTCCAAAAAAGTAGTATAACTCATTGATTCTATAATGGACATAAATGAGCCAATGACGGTTAAAGAAGACCTCTCATCACTCAATCCTAATGCAAAGGTCTTACAACAATAAAAGTAACCAACAGAAAAATAAACAGTCTGATCATGAAAAATAAATAGCAAGAAAACAATAAAATTAAAATACTACCTTCAAACTCTAAACTCTCATGCATTCCATGGCGGCGGTTCAGAAGGGGAACAGTCGATCCAACAGTATTGTAACTTCTTGCCTCTGGTCCAAATCTGTTCCAGTCTTTAACTCAACGCTTCGTTCATGACCTTCTGATCTCAACCATGAACGGCATCCTCGAAACTCCCTACCTGTTGTTAGGGATACACAACTTTTAGCCATCATATAGGTCTTGCGGTCTGTCGAAGAAGAGAGACTAGTTAGTTAAATACGGTACGGGAATTAAACGAGGTTTAATACATACGCGTTTTATTCGGTAACATGAATGGAAAAAACGGTCACAAATTCGTTGTAAAAACGTTGACTTTTAAAAAAATGTGTAAATACGTATACGTGTATAATACGTTGTCTATTACAAAAATTCGGACGAAAAATACGGGTATTATTTTGAACATTTAAATGATATATTTCATAAAATAACATACATAGTAAAAAAGAAATAAAAGTATACACATATTCAAGCAGCAAATCTCATTACTACATACAAGAATAGTTCGTAATTGCATAAGTCGATGACAAAAATAAAAACAGTAATTAAGTCCAAGACATAATTTTGAAAAATAATGTCAAAAAATCATTATCTTTATATGATTATCAAATAACACTCAAGTTAAACTCATCATTTTCATTAAGATGACAGATGACATATGACAAAAGTTGTGTGATTGCTACACTTATTATTGTTTGTGTAACAGTTTATGCTAAAAAAAGGTAGGTTTAGAAAAATCTTAATTTTGATATGCTAGCTTGAAAAAACATCAGAAATCTTGTAGTATATTACTACGTAAGTTTTAGTATTTCAGGATATTAGCTTTAGCCATCATGCAATTAAATTTAGTATTTAATAATTGCACTGTAACAATACAAAAACACAAGATCATAGGGAGGACGTTTTCATTTTTACTTTTACACTATTGTTGATCTTCTATGCATTTAGTGCATTCATTCAATTGGTCAATTCATGTTTATGTTTTTTGTAAAATACGGGAAAAATACGTTTTATACGGGAAGTAGGAGTTTTTTTTCTTTTTAAACGGACCGACATTTCTCCCCTTTTTAAACGTGTTTTTTTGGTCAAAAAAACGGTACGTGTTTAAAACGGAAAAAAACTAACTAGGGAAGAGAGCCTCATGAAAGACCGACGAAAGCCACACAAGAAAATCACATTTTGTCGAAGACGAAAGCGGAGAAAAACAATTCCTAACCCTAGGGGTGGACATGATTAGGAAAATATCCTAATCATCACTCTGTAAACATGCATGGTAGGGAAATACCCGGCAGCCTTCATTCCATTGTATATTTTCTTAACTTCAAAAGAGTTCCCTTCTTTTGTAAATGCATCAAGCATCAAAATGATGGAGCTCTTACAAACTTTAAAACCCATATCTTGAATTTCCTGTATCACAATGTATAGCTCATTTGATCCGCCACCAACAATCAATGAGTGTAAGAGACTGTTGATGGAATCCACTGTAGGTGATGGACCTTCTCTCATCATTGTGTTGAAAACTGCTCTCGCTTTCTCATAGAGGCCACTCACAGCGTAAGCTTGTATCAATGCATTCCAAGCTGTTTGGTCCAAAACAGTATACCTCTCTCTTATATTTGCCTCAACTTCCTCAGCCTTAGCCTCAGCTCCTCATAAGCCTTGATTAGATCGACATAAATGGAAAAAATGCCATCAAGAGGCATGCCTCGTGCTTCTGCTTGATTGACGAAATGATGACCCGTTTCAGGGAACCCATAGTCACATAGATAACAGCCATTGTTCTATAAACATCCTGAGAAGGCTGCAGCCCATTGGCTTGCATGTCAGAAAATATTTGATAAGCCTCAGAAAATTGCTTAGCTGCCTCACAACAACTATGAGGTATTCACTCACAACACTACCAGATTAAAGCGATTAAAGCGAGAATACAAATGCGATTAAAACAATTCCTTAGCTGCCTCCTAGAGAGAGAAACTCTCGCCTAGAGAGAGAAAACTTTACATATTAAAGCACCATTACAGCCATCAGTTTACGGATTGAGAATACAAATGATAGATTTTCTGATATACCGTTACGACCAGTGATTCAATTTCACTCGGGCAATCTCAATCAAATTTAGTGCGTATATATGTGATGCAAATATATTTTCTTTCTAATTAATTAATAAATTCAGATCTTCAAAGATAAAAGGGAAAGTTCCCGAAATAGGATAAAAAAAGTTTGAAAATTCCAAAATAGGACTGTCGTGTTTTTATTCTCAAAATAGGACTAATTACTGTCAAATTTGGAAAATACTGTCATGTTTGAAGTCTGATACTGCCAAAACATGTCAGTAATTAATTCTATTTTGAAAATAAAAACAAGAAAATCCTATTTTGAAATTTGCAAACTTTTTTAATTCTATTTCGGATAATATCTCAAGATAAAATAGGTTAATATAGGACTAGAATGATTGAAAACTATCAATCTATGATTTCAAATTTCATAAATTTTGATCTATTTAGAACTTGTTTGATAACACTAAAATCAGCTGAATTGGTTAATTGACTTGATTCTATTGGCATTTATGAAATTCCGGCTGAAATGGTTGTTTCTCCCAATTTTGCAATGCACAACGACTTCAAAGTATTTCTCACATTAAAGCATTATTCTCAGGTGATACAATACCCCTTATTAGCCCGTGCAATGCTCACAAGTCACAAGGTACACGGTCTCAAGTCCGTCTCACAAACCAACAGTGTCGGATCTAATTTTAGTTTCGAACATAGAATTAAATTATTATATTCTTTAAAGAATTTCATTTTCAGGCCGAAAAGCAACGAGCATTGCTCAATTCGATAGAATCATAGAACAAAGAGATGCAGTCATGTAGCGCTCCGGTATCAGTTCGACTCACTGATAAAGAAACGGTTTTTTAAAAACTACACTGCCAAAGTGCCAATGCCTTCTACAAATTGATTCTATAGTGCTCCTACACGCTAGTCAGGACAACACTTCCACCTTGCAACATCCGCCACCACAAGTATCATGTCCATATACAAGAGGATTGATTCCCAACCATATTAAAAAAAGGGTAAACTCAAAACTAAACAGAAGGATAAAATGAAAGATTCTCCAGCAAAGATCAAACTGAAAGAAAACGACAGCCACCAAACAGATAATAATAAATGAAAACAAAAGGTAGAGGAACTCTAGAAACCAAACCCTATGATCATCAAACACCAGTTAGAATGAAGCTAATCAAACTGTAGAAGCACACCCCCATCATAAGGAAAACCACGAGATTCATGTCTTTTCCATTGCTTGATGACATTCGGCAAATTTGCAGCATTTTAGAATTATGTGCCCAAGCAGGGTGACCAACCAAGAAAATTTGCATCTGCTAACCTTCCAAGGGACTTCAATCCCATGGTCAGCCCTATTTCATGGAATATATAAAACACGACCTAAGATCCATCTGCTGCAGCTTTGCTCTCTGATGCTGCAATTTGCTTAATCGCTTTCACATCTTCCGAATTTGCAACCAAGCCGCTTTCTGCAGGTTTGATATCCCCATTACTTTGAGTACCAACATGTGCTGTTTTCTGGATAGTGGATTCACATGCTTCTGTGACTGCTGATTCCGCTGGTTTATGAGGCTGCTTGAGTTCACCGTTTGAAGTTTCTTTCGTTTTCTCCTCCGTTGCTTTTCCCTGGCATGCCTGCATGTTTTATAGAATACTATAACCTAAATTCCTACTTGATTCAAACAACATCATGGTAATGAAGGTGGTTGAAAAAATTACTTTTGGTTCATTGAAAATGGTGGGAGGTACTCATTCTGGAAAATTGATGATAGTATTGTAATTAATATGGTTATTTTATACTGATTCGATATATGTATTAGCAAGTAAAGAACATAGTGACACAGATGAATGACCCTGTTTTATAGCCATAATCAGCAAAGCATATTCTGATGGCAAATTATCGGAATAAGAGCAAAAGTAGTCAAATAGAACACAGAAATGAATATACCAAGCACTTTTCCTATCAAATAACTCAGCAAACTTTGAGTTCTGCCATATTGTCAAATGGGAACTAAGAAAAAAACCAAGTGCATTGTGCAGGAAAGTGGTGGATTTTATGGCTACACCTCTTAACCACTACACACCCCCAGCACCCAATGACAGGTACAATTCACCCCTTTCTCGAGAAAAAAAAAACTCTTCCAACCAAGTCCAAAAGGATCTTATGAAAGAGCAAACAAAAATTATAACTATTCCAATGTACCAAAAAAAACAGAAATTATAATGCTTTAAGAGTTAATTTACCAAAGTAACCTGCTTCTGGAACAGCTGTTGTTTGGCTTTTTTATCTTGAATTCTCTTCTGACGGTCTTCGTAAAACTCAAAATCATCAAGGATACACTGCTTGCTAGTGTGGTCCTTGAATATCTTAACCATTTGCATTCCCTGCTCCAACTTAATCTGTGTAACAGAATCAAATTATGATACTTTCAAATAGATTAGCATCTGAGAGCATTTCATTCTCATGATTATGCATTTAAAAAGCATCACCTCTTGAGTGTCCCTACTGTTTGTGACAGGCTTGTTCTCATTATATTCAAGCGTGATGTGCTTCAACAAACTATTAGGTACGTCCTTCACAATGTGCCACTTCACAGGGAAACAACCCATCCACTTGTCCTGTTGCCAGTACTCAACTTTTTTGTTGAAGTCAACAGGGCCCACCATCTCAGCCATACCAACAAACTGTCCGCTTGTATTGACCTGGACAATACATGCCCAGTAAATTTAATGAAGGCTATTATCACGACGAATAAGAGTATGTTTTGATACCCGTAAATGCTAGGGAAAATAGAGCATAAACATATTCCAGAATTCTATGTTTTCCTGTTCTCTTGCTCGAGTACTTTCTGGCCTTCAAACTTAACCTTACAAAGTTAAACCATGCTAGGATAGTTGAAAATGCTATATAAAAAGGCAGAAGAATGAAGACTGTTGTAACTGTTGTAAAAAGTTATTCTGTTTTATATCTGAAAAAGAAAAGAAAATTAAAATATGATTAATGTTTTCAAAAGTTCATTATGTTTAGATTTATTAGTCTTTAAGTCGTAGAAATAAAGAATAAGTTAAAGTAAATGAGTTTGATCACATATCAAAAAGCAATTTCATATGTTTGCTTCCCTAA